GAAATTTGCCGAGAGGATTCTCACAGACCCGGACCACTCATTGCATGCGGAACTGACACTTTGTCGTTCCCATGATTCAACCCGCTCCGAATTCCGCCAAATTTCATCTCGAACTAACGAATACCGCAATTCACCCATACCGTATCTTGCTTGTCTACTCACAAACAAAGAGCGAACAATAAGTGAACTTTGTCTTAACCTTGGATTATGAATGTCCCCATGCCTGCGAAAATTTCTCTCAACGTTGATTATGTACATTGTGACGGTTAGCGTGTATGATTTTTTAACTGAAATGTGAGCTCCAGTGCTTGCAAAAGTTATACACAATACAATACAATACAAATTTAGGGCAACCCGGTTTGAACAAAACAATCGGTTCAATAGAACAAAAGCAAAGGTGCCACGAAACCACCATCTTGGATACCAGAGGAGGAGTGTCATTTGGATATACAGACAGTGTTATTTAGGGGTGGTGAGGACTAATCACAGGGGTAGGAATGAAAGAATAACAGTTACAACAGTGAAGACGATAGGATAATCCTAGTGGGTGGATGATGAACAGGTTGCAACCATAACACGAAGCACTCTCTATGTCCGGTCTATAGATAATTGATACCGATAATGGATTACGATAATAGAAAAACAATCACAACAATCATCACGAACCAGTTTCCGTGTTGGGTGAAGATAAAAGATTACATTAAGTGTTGGAAGAAGAAGGGGCCACGACGATTAATACCAAACAGATTCCATGTGGATTGAAGATAAGAGATTGCGATAACAAGTTGAACGAAGAACGAGTCACGATAATTACCACGAAAGTTCCTATAAGGAGCGGTTAGATAATCATAGAGGCAATACGTAAACGTGCAACTAAATGGCCATGGAGAGGGAACGTAGTGAGTACCGCTTTGAGCGGCGAAGTTCATCAAACGGGGATTTGGTTACGGCCGCACATGAATTGTTGGGATTCCAACAGAGTACCGATAGGTTCGGTGTACGTAATTTCAATCACAGAATGAAGCTTCTTATACAACACTTCCGTCTACCGATATTGACGAGTGACATTCAAGGGTAGTCTGTTGCCAGCACTTGAGGTTCCGTCCTTCTAGATCCGCTAATTGTAGTGCAGAATTATCTTAATGGGTTGACATTCCAAACGAAATTACTCGATCGGTGCCAGGTTCATCACAAATTTAACGGTATCTCTGCATTCAGTGGGAAGTCCGGAGCCATGACACGTTCAAATAAAGAAACATGGAAAATGCCACAACTTACGCAGGTTGCTTCCAATGATACAATTCAACTGGTGTTTATCTGTCACATAAATGGTGCTTCGCAATCTTATTGAATGCATTTCGGTAATCAGAATCAATATGCAGCCTTTAGAAAAATCTGTCACGTGCTTTTAAACATATAAGAATTGAGTCCCAAATCGAAAGGTGCGGCACGTCTTTCCGTGTGTGAGGAGCAGTTTCTCATCGTTTCACATTTCAACGGGTGATACACAATGAATTAACAATCCACACTGATTTCGTTCCCAACAGCAATTTCAATTCTGTCTTTGGGACCGAACTGATGATGTGATTGCGAAGGCAGAACAATATGAGGACAGTCCAGACACGCTCAAACTCGGTTATCGAATTGAAATGTATCGCTTCAGCTGTACCTCGCTCGTCCGCTTAACCTGTCGTGCAAATGTAGGAATACTGTTAAAAAGCTTGAATGTTACAACGATCGGTACCGGAATGAAATGTCCAAAAGTCGTTGATGGCAACTTGTAGTGAATTTTTAAAACATTGGTTTCTGTAAACTGTCATTGCTGTCTTGAAATTAATTAATATCCGCGTTAATTTTGTTGCTCGACAAATCATTTATACTGCTTTAATTTGCCGTGATTCAGCGTATGAACTCAAGCTGCATTGTCAAAAATGGACTGAATTCCAACCGTTCTTGTTCATAATTCGCTTGGGGTGAACTTCAGTATTCCATCACATCGTTCTTCCTCCATCGCATCAGATAATTCGAAAATTTCTTTGCCTTGTACCACTGCAGGATCAGCCATTGTCACGGAAATTGATATTCTGATCTGGTTTCTCGTCTTTTCAGATTGGGGATCTGTTAAGAAATATGAGAATACATTGATGAGCGAGTGATCTGCGTGATGTCTTCGGGAAACATAATCCGTATTCATTGAAGCTCGATATCTGGGAAAAATACTCTTATTTTTCATGGCAATTCTGCCCACGGTGAATTGCAATTTATTCATCACAATGTCATTCAATTGACCAATCGGTTTGATTTCATCCAACCCGACCAACAAATTGTCCCCGAATTTGATCCCAATGAAAGTTTGATTACAATAAGCAATCTTTGATGTAGTGGAGGATCCGCAAGCGATCCCGCATGCAAATGAGTTTGGAACGTTGTGCAGAACACTGATATGGATGGTCATATTTGTAGGTCTATTTATCCATATGCTGCGCTCATCGAGAGGTGAGAAACCGACCATCTTGCGAATTTGACGACAAACGTAAATGTGAATGCAACATCATCATACTGTATAATAAAGTTGGCGCATTTCCAAATGGTATCACTGAAAATTCATCATGATTCTTGTTCAAATGTAATCTGCACGCGGAAGGGGTGATTCCCTCGGAGCAACTCAACTCAATCAAAACAGCCATTGTTTCCCTGACTAAACCAGCGCTGATGGTGCTCTTTGACGCACTCAGACAAACGCCTTGCCGTACGATCTATGTAACATGTGCCACAGACGCACTCAAAAGAGTAAATTACCATGGATGAGGTCAGTTTCGTTTGTTTGTTCACTTGGATTCGCATCCACGGTGATGTAGAGAACACTGAACACTGGATGCGGGGAAAGTGGAACTCACAGTCGCTCTCAGTGATTGGACTAGGCTGTCCGTGTATGAGTCCCCCTCCAATGGGATTCGTATGAATGATTCTTTCTGGGGTACAGAGATGAAATTTTCCTTCCTGGATGAAAACAGGTCATGGCCGAGGCGATCATCATTCGTTTCTTAGGCCCCAACCTGTGTGCCCCAAAACGGCTGGTGCATGCGCCCCAATTGCTTTGGTAGGGTGTGAAAACCAAGACAGAACAGGACGTGTCACTTGACCCAAGTGGGGAAAGGTCACATCAACTGACATGCTAAACATTACTCCACGCACGAATACACACAGAGAGAGAGAGAAACACACAAACACACCCATCACTCTCTGCCTCCGATTAAACACCTTGAATTGAGACTTTGGCTATCAATATGTAAGAATGTTTTCCGCCATGTGATATGTAAGAGCATGAATGGGAATATCCGAAAACAATTGTCCGCTCACCTACTCGTTTTCTCAATGCTATCTAACATGGGATTATTCAAGCTTCCAATCAAAAGCGATGGAAATCAGTTATTATTGCAGCATAATATTAACATGAGCTTTCAAGCAATACAGTCGAGTCGATTTTTCAATCAATCTGTTCACACTATTGAATATCAGAAAGGTACAAAGAGATTCGGCTCAACTTAGGCAATTATTAAAAAGTCATCACAGTAGATATTTCAGAAACTAATGGTATAATGGATAAATCAAAATAAAACAAAAATGACACTTCAATGAACGTCTTCAAATATCCCCATAAATCGCTGATAAGATTAGTGAAGCTAAGAATTCTTTTCGATTGCTCATTCTCAAGCTTCTACATTAATATATGATCACAATGTCGCAACAAAAGTCCTGATTTACAAAATAACCCGGGGTGGGGGAGGGGGGTTACAGGGTTCTAATCACTTGTCTAAGCAGATTACGTAAAACGGGATCATTCAGTTATCGTTTGATTTTCTGAACAGAGGTCAGTTACGTCACATTGTCGGGTCATGGCATACTCAATACGTGAACGATCCGTTTTTGTTTGCACAGTTCGAGGTGGTGGATACGAATCGCTACCGCCTCGGCTATGCAAAGCCTGATCTGCCGCCATTGTTTGGTCAGATTAATCGGGGTTCTGTAAAAATGACCTTAAATGACCTTTCATCATCTACCGTGTTGATAAGATGTTCCACAATTGAGCTACGAATGGCCTTTAATAGTCCTTTTCTCAGCCAGGCCGGGTGATACTCTTGAATCCGTTTAGTCAACTGCCGACTGGTACGACACAAGCAAGTGAATTGATAGACACACATAGAAATGGCGGACAGTGGCAGTTGATCCTTGAGTCTCTGAGCAACAGCCGGATAGAATGAGTAGGATATTTTCACTTCAGCCGCGTAAAAAGTAGAGTTTAATGCTCTTAAGAGTCGCATTTCGAAGAGTTCACTAATACCATCGTTTACAAAAGGCAGATTAATAAATAATCGTTTCTTAGGAACGGTGTACAGTTGGTTCTTTCGTCTTCTCGTTTTCATATATTCTTTGATGAACTTGTCTGGGTATCCGTTCTGTCGCAAAGTGCTTTGTAGTTTATCTATCTCACTTGGCAATGTTCTGTCGGAACAAATCATTCTTACTCGTCGGGTTAGACAACGCACTATGTTTCGTTTCTGTTTGATCGGTACTGCACTATGGAAGTGTATGTATTGCCCAATCCACGTTTGCTTTCTATACACACTCCTCTCAATAGTTCCATCTTCATTTCGAGAAAGCAGCACGTCGAGAAAAGGAATGCATTCATCCCTTTCTGGCTGCAGTGTAAACTGAATCGACCGATGTGCTTTGTTGAACATCGACAGACGTTGCGAAATATTTGTTGTCTCATTGCTAATGGCGAAGATATATTCAACGTAGCGATACTAAGTATTCAGTTGAGAGATCTTGTCCTCGAGTTCGTGGTTTTCCAACTTAGCCATAAAGACATCTGCAAGTAAGAGGCCAAGTGGTGAACCCATTGCCACACCATCGACTTGGCGGTACGTATGTTTACTACATAGGAACTGAATGTTCACTGTGCAACGTAAAAGTAGTTCTTGCAAATCTGATGTCGGAACCACGGTGTTTATCTGGTCTCGTGCTATGTAATTGCAGAGATAATCAATCTATCCAATCAGTGGCACGTTGTCGAAGAATGAAGATACGTCCAGTGAAAACATGACTTTGTTTCTCACGTTCAAGTTTTTGACTTTCTCAACGAACTGCTTCCGGATGGGTTCTAGTTTGGACACAAGCCATTGTGCAATTAAATGCTAGGGAGTACCTGACATCGAAAGTATCGGTCGTAGAGGACAATTCGGCTTATGTACTTTAGGTAAGCCGTATAGACGTGGGATAACTGGGCCTTGAGGTTTTAGGCTTTCAAATTCCGTCGTTGTGACATGATTCGCACTCCGCAGTCTTTTCAGTAATGTCGTTAGTTGTTTTTCAATTGAGTCTGTATTATATTTATCCCGGTCCATCTG